GGCTTGAGAGTTGGTGATCGTAATCTGTTTCAAAGACTTAGAGATGGAGAAGGGGGGTCACGTCAACCCAATCTGACTCAGGTTCAACTTGAAACAGTACGACAATTGGCGGCCAGTGAAGTGAGACGCGAAATGGAGGCCCAAATGACGACAATGAGGCAAGAGCAGGAGCGTCAGTTAGAGATCATGCGGAAGCGGCAATCTGATATGGAGGAGCAGATGAGACAGTTTATGCAAGGCGGTCGAAATCAAAATGTTCCTGATCATACACAGCCGGATGATGACGGACTTGATGACTTTGATCTTGATAATTTTCCGGGTGAAGATGCCCCGTGAAAACATTTTTTTTATTTCGTTTTTATATTTGCATTTATGTAAGATATATTTATTTTTATCATTTTAAATTAATAAATTATATAACATTTAATTATGTGAATTTATTTTATAAAATTCTATTATTCGAAATATAAAATAAAATACTATTATTCTAATAATTTTAATATATAAATTTTATTATATAAAATTTATTATATAAATTTTAATATATAAATTTATTATATAAATTTTATTATTTAAATTTTATTATATAAATTTTATTATTTAAATTTTATTACATTAATGAATTAATATAAAAATTAATTATTAACAATTTTTTAAAAAATATAAACGTCCCCTGTAGCGACGTGGGAATCATGTCACAAATTAGTGACATGATTCTCACGTCGCTAATAAAGCTGTCATTATGTAATATGTAGCGACGTGAATACCACGTCACAACTTTGTGACGTGGGAATCACGTCGCTACTTGCTTGCCACTTACTCCCCAGCGACATAACTCACCACGTCGCTAATTTTGCCTTGCCACGTGATTTTGATGTTTGCCACATGATTTTCACGTGGCAACTGAGCTTCTTTTTTGTAGTGTTGATCTTTAGAACCCTTCTCTTAGAACTTCGGGTCTTTAGAAAGTTGAGTCTTTAGCATCTGAACTTAAGTATAACTTCTTATCTTCAAATCTTATGACTGTCTCTTTAAAACATGTCGTCTTTAGAACCCGTCGTCTTCAGAAACACGAGTCTTCAGCATCTAGACTTTAGTAGAAACATCCGTCTTTAAATCTTCTGAATTATTTCTTTAGAGCATGTTGTCTTTAGAAGCATGAGTCTTCAGCATCTGGACATAAGTATAACTTCTGTCTTCAGATCTTATGAGTTGTTTCTTTAAACAAACATCAGAGCCTACACTTTAGAAGCTTCTGTAGTGTCTTGCTACTGCTCATCAGAACTTGTGTAGCGCAAAAGCGGAATTAATTCTCTTATAATGTCTTGGTCACGCCATTCATAAGAAGTAGGACCTGTTTGTTAAATACTAAAAAAATAACACATTAGAGTATCAAAATTGTCCATACAAACATACTTATGGGTTATCATCAAAATTCAGAAATAATATTGCATAACCAAATCTTGTTCTAAAAAACCCTCTTAGGTTATTAAGGAAAAAATTGATAGAGCTATGGTAAACACAGGTTGTCTATATATCTTTCATAATGTGTGGCTCCTAAATTTGTTACATCACATTTAGATCATAGTCCAATCCTGCTACGATGTGAAACATTCTAGAGATGTTGTTATAAATACTCGTTCAAATTCGAAAATAGTTGGCTGAAAGAAGATGACCTTGAATATGTTATGACTTGTGGGTGGGCACCATAAAGAGAGCTTGATATTAGTGATCGTACAGTCTGAAATGTGGAAGAACTTAAAAGATGCAGTAGACGGAAACATATAAAATTTAAAGAGGATATGATAAAGCATGGAAGAGATGGAAAGACATTGTACCCATCATGAACCTTAAAATGTTAAAGGTTCTTTGAGGCGTAAAAGCGGCATACCAAGGAGCTTATTCAAGAGGATACTTTCTGGAGACAACGTGCTAAAATGCATTGGCTTAGTGAGAGTGACCTGAATACGAAATTCTTCCATATGTCAGCTACAACTAGAAGAAAATTCAAAAGTATAGAGATGCTAATAAATGAAGATCAAATTGAAGTTAAGGGACATGCAACCCTATGTGAGGTAGAAAAAAGTATACTTTAGTAAATTATTTGAAGCAAAAGAAGGTATATATTAACTTGTTATATCTCTCATACGACAACAAATTGTTATTGAAGATAAGGAAAGGTTGTTAGCGCCTATTACTAAAGCAAAATTATATGAAGCTCTTATACACATGCATCCTGATAAGTCACCAGGTCCAAACATATTTAATTTTGTGTTTTATCAAAATTTTGGGGTATGTATGGCGATGATATCTTTGCAGGAGTGGCTAATTAGTTGGAGAGAGGTTTTTTTCGTCCTCACTTAATGACACAAACATATGTCTCATCCCTAAATGTGCAAATCCTAATAACATGAAGGAGTTGTGACCTTGTGTAACATGGTGTACAAGATGGTATCGAAACTGCTCGCAAATAGGTTGAAATGTTATTTATCCAAATGTCTGTCAAAAGAACAATCATCGTTTGTGGAAGGAAGGTTTATTCTTGACAATGCTCTTATAGCCATCGATATCATTCATGCTTTGAAACATAATACAATGGGAAATAAGGGAGAGTCGACTCTCGAATTGACATAAGTAAAGCCTATGATAAAGTGGATTGGGGTTTTTTAGAGGTGTGCTAAGTCGAATGGGTTTTACAGATAAATGGATTCACTGGGTGATGATGTGTGTAACCTCTATGCATTATTCAGTACTAGTTAATACAGATAGAGTCAGACCAATTCAACTAGGACAGAGATTGAGACAAGGAGACCCATTTTCCCATATCTTTTTATCATAATAACAAAAGGACTTTCAACACTCACGAGTAAAGCATTAGCTAGAGAAGATATCCGTGGAGTGCAAATATGTAGAGAGGCGCCAATGTTCTTCTATCTACTTTTTACCGAAGATTGTTTTCTTTTTTGCAGGGCTTGTATCACAACTTAAGCAGCTTATAGAAATTTTTCGAGTATATGAAGAAGCGTCAGGTAAAGAAATTAACATGACCAAGTCAGAGGTGTCCTTCAGTCGAAATATTAGTAGACCAGCACAATAGAAACTACCTAAAATTATGGGTGTCCGACATGTGTTAGGAACGAGAACATATTTGGGTTTTCCATCCATTGTTGGAAGGAGAAAACAGGAAACATTTACATTCATTAGAGATCATATTTGGCATATAATTAACTATTTGAGAAGTTGTCCATTATATATTATGAGTGCCTATGTTATCCCAAATACCATAGTGAATGATATTGAGAAGATGTTGAACTCTTTTTGGTGGAGAGCATGGAATAATAAATGGATAAGGTGAACTTCTTGGGAAAGGTTTACATGTTATAAGAATGAACGTGATCTTAGTTTTCGTGACTTTAAGGGATTTAACATGGCGATGGTGGCGAAGCAAAGGTGGCATATTATGACAAAGCCGGATACTTTAGTAGCTAGAATTTTTAAAGCAAATTATTTTCGCCGTTCTTCTTTTTTTTAGGCTAACCTTGAAAATAATCCTAGCTATGTTTGGAGAAGTTTGTGGGAATCTTGTTATGTTTTAACCCTTGGATGCAGGTGGAAGATTAACGATGGTAGCAAAGTTAAGGTGATGTTCGAACGGTGGTTGAGAAGTGAAGGAAATAGGGGGTGAGTGCATCACAAGGCCAAGGTGTGTACAATATTAATGTTAATAACCCTCATGCTAAATAATGTTAAGCAATTGGATGCACATAAAATTAAACAAATGTTCACATATGATGCAACTAAGAAAATTTTGAATGTTCCCTTTTTTGATGATGTAGGTAAGACTTGCTTGGTTTGGAAGGAGGAATAAAATGAGGATTATAATGTCAAAACTGGTTACACGATGCTGAAGTGCATCTAAAATGATTGGAAAGGCCGAAGTATAGAGGGTAACTGATGAAGTCTGTGGAAGATTAAAGTACCGACAAAGGCTAAACACTTATTATGGAGGATTTGTCGTGAGTGCCTCCTAACTCGAGTGCGACTTCGTCAACACCATGTTCTATGTCATGTTATTTGTTAGTTATGTGAAGAAGAAGTAGAAGACGAGTGACAAATTTTCTTTTGTTGTACAACAAGTTAACAATGTTGGAATGGGGCAGGTTTGAGCTCAGTCATCGCTCCATGGATATAGAGTTTCAATGAAGCAAGGACATTAACTCAGTACATATATAATAATGAGAATAGAAAGATCGCAGGTATAATGGTTGCCATGTTATGGGTGCGTTAGAACAATAAGAATAATTGAATTTGAAATCATGATAAGATGAATGCAAATTAATTGTGTTTGCAAGCGTTCCATAGCTAGAATGACTGGTTTATAACACAAAACAACCATGAAGGTACCAAGAATGATCGCCTATAACAATCTTAGGAACCACCACATAAAAGGTTGGTGAAATGCAACGTGGATGCCATATTTAATAATCAAACGAGAACAACAAAATAACCAAATGAGAACAACAAATTAAGGATGATGCTTTAGATATGAGAACATAAGATATATTATTACGGGGAATAACTTGAGATTATGAAACTTCTTTTTTCATTAAGGTTGAAGCATTGATCTTGAAAGAAGTTATACATGCGGTCATTTATATATAAATAGAATACATTATATTTGAGAGTGATACACATACGATGGTCCAAACAATTCAAACAAATAATGATGTTAATTATGAATTTAGTGTGATTATTTATTGTATTAAGAATATATTAGTTATATTAATTAATATTATAAAATAACTTTAGTCTTTAAATTTGATAGAGTATATATTAATATCCAATTATCAAATGTAGTTTTATTATTTTATATTAATTTGTTTTAAAAATAAAAATAATGATTTTTTGCTTTGTAACAAACAAAATTGGCACAAAATAATTGAAAGGGAATTGGTTTGTCGACCTGCTTTCCGCTGGGCATCTCCGCGACGCGAGTGAAGATGCGAGGTGGAAAAAGAAACGCGAAAAAAGAAGAAGACGAAGTGGAACAAATGTTACGCGCCGCACAAGACGAGATCCTCTTAAACCTCTCCCTCAACTCTCACATATCTCGTCCTTCTCCTTCTTCCTCCACTATCCCCAATCCCGATCCTGATCTGGATCTTGATCTCGACCGTCGATTTCAAGCCCTAAAAATAATTTCCAAAAATCAACAACCGTTGGATCCCTCCACCAGATTCGATGCTCTCAAAGCCAAATCGCATCCGCCTGTGAACGCTAACGATATCGTCTCCGCATCGGAACCGCCGTTTCGATATGAGGAAAGTGACGAGGAAGATGAAGAGGCGCAGATTCAGAAATTGATTGAATGGGCGAAAGATGCTGCAAGGCTTGATCCTTCTCCTCCGTCTCCGGCTGTTTCGGACGACGAAGATGACGAGCCGTCTGTATCCGACGATGATGATCACCGCCGCAAATCGTTGAAATAGCTTTATTTTATTTTTTCTATGATTATATTATTTTTAATTTTGTAGTTTTTATTTATTTATTTAGTAGTAGATGCTTTGGTTAGTTTTTACCTGTTACTGGATTTGTATGTGCATTATCCCTTTTATTACTAGTGCTTTAGGAAATCTGTGAATAGATATGCTTTTATTCAATACTGAATTATTTATTATTTTTTAATGATGAAAATTATATGGAACGAAAAGGAGATAAAAGAATAATGTTGTTGTTGTTATTGTAACATTAGTTAGTAGAATAATGGTGTAATTAAGTCCTTTGTTGTTGTTACGGTGATAATGAGGAAGAGGAACAAGATAATAAACAAGCTTTTGGTATTCAAAATAATAAACAAGCTCACTGTGTTAAGACTCAAGGAGTGATTAAAATTCAATTGAAGTGATTAAATGGTTCATCAATGCATTAGAAGACTTGAGTAATATATCTGTGTGTGAACCCTCACACCTTTATTCTTATAATGCTCTGTTGGATAGGTAGGTCTCCACTACTATGCTTATGAAGTGGAGCGGGGAAGTCCTATGAGGCGGAGAAGTCACTATCGTGACTACGAAGTGGATAAGTTTGCACCACCACAGCTACAAGATAGATAGAGGAAGTATGCAACCACCGTGACTAATAATGGTGTAATTAAGTCCTTTGTTGTTGTTTCAAGGTGTGTCTTGTAAGCAAATATATATATATATATATATATATATATATATATATATATATATATATATATATATATATATATATATATATATATATATATATATTCGACTTATGTCTAAAATATGTATTTTTGCCTTTTATAATTTTGGGCTTTTTTGTCTTAGGGAGAAGGCAAATTCAATTATAAATAGAGGGAGTAATCCCTATTTTTTTAATCAACTCATAACATATTGATTATTCACATAATTTGCAGTTACAAGTGAATAAATATTTTTTTCTACAGTTTGTGGACAAAGAGAAACTCTGCAGAAACCCTAAATATCTTTTCTTTGCATTGTCATTGTGTGGTGATAACAATTTTGTTCATCTAGATTGATAGAAATTCATCATAGATTTCAGTGAATTTCTAAAAAAAACCTTGTTTTAGAATAGTTAACACAAACCATGTTAAGTGAGATGAGTCTACCTAAATACTGGCGGACGCGATTAACACCATATAATATATCTTAATTAGGATGGTCAATCGACTCATCCTAGAGAAGACCCTATACAAGCTACTTAAAGGTGGAAAGTCTAATATTTCATATTTTCACGTTTTCGACTATAAATGTTTTATTTTAAATAATGACAAAGACAAACTAGACAAGTTTGACACTAAAGCTAACAAGATAATCTTTCTAGGTTATTCCTCATTCAGTAAGGCTTATAAGTTTTTCAATCTTTAACCATCTATTGTTGAAGAGTTTGTTCATGTTGCATTTGATGAAACTAGACCCCAAAATATGAGGAAAGATGGTTATAGTTTGATGTTTCAGGTGTTTTAACAAAATATTTGGTAAATGATGATACAAAAGAAGGTCCTTTTATAAATGAGAAAGTTTGTCCAAAAAAAAAAGAAAGTCATAGTCGATAAAGAGGAAAGCAAACAAGAGGATGGTAAATAAAAGACCTCGACAAAAGTAAGTAAATATTCAATTATTGTGAAATATGATCCAATAGATAACATTATGGGAGATATCAAAATGGGCGTAAGTAATTGTTATCAAGTTAATAGTTTATGTAATTATTCATCGTCCGTCTCTAAAATCAAACCAAAAGTCATGAACATTGGTTGCCATAAAAATTGATGAAGGTTGACTCATTGTTATGCAAGAATAGATGAATTAATTTAAAAGAAATGATGTATGAGATCTTATTTCGTGTCTTCAAAATTAAATTGTCACATAACTAAATGGGTCTTTTAGAACAAGTTTGATGAACTTAATATAATTAACAGAAATAAAGCAATGATAGTGACAAATGGATATAATCGAGCTTAAGAAATTAACTAAGAGGAGACATATCCTCCCATAGCCCATCTTGAAGTGATTCAACTCCTTTTGGAATTTACATGCAACATGGATTTTAAATTATATCAAATAGACATTACGTCTTCTTCCTTAAGACTTTATAAACAAAAAAATGTATATCTCTCAACTACTCGATTTTGAGGGCAATGAGAATCCCGACTATATTTTAAACTGAATATATTGTTGCTCCTAACTACATTTACTTGGGCCTTAGAAAAGAGAAATAACCAAAAACAAATTATTAGAGAGAAGAAAGCATAATTTGTTCTTAGACGTAGCTCCATTTAACTAAGCTTTAGAAAAAAGAAATATGTCTGAGTTTAAAAAAACCATAGTCATTAAGAATCGTTTTTATAAAATTAAATTAGATTTTTTTTCATTTATAGGCAAAATGTCATGTTTTTATCTCCATTCCACTTTACTATGAAGTAAAGAAAGAAAAAAAATCATAAATTAACTAAGCCTTAATTAAGACAAGTAACCCTAAACTAACATAAACTATAATGAATAATCATATAACAACTAATGACATGATAATGATGTAGATGTGTTAGCATACGATTTCAAACAATCGCCACATCGGCAATCGTTACTGTAATGGAGTCATTGTAATTGTCCCGACAATAGTGTTACAAGGATTGAGCTTAAGATTAAAACAACTATATTAGGCCTCACGATGACACCAATTATACTTGCGAATAATATTAATAAATATGACATTGCTCACGAAAGCAACCATGAAAGGGTTTGTATCCTGAATTTTATAGAATTAATGAATGATTATTCCAAACTCTAGACAAAAAAATATATGTAAGAGACTTCGTGAATTAGATAATAGGGATGAAGAAACAATTTTTCCTACTTTCTCTACACATTCGCGGGAGTAGAGTAAACTGATTATTCCTCCATATAAGGGGGACACTTTTCTCCATTCATGTTACATTTTGAATATTTTTTGAAAATGTCATGTCTTTCTTATATTATTGAAATGAATCGATTAATAAACACATGTCTAGATCGAACGATCTAGATCACATTCAAACAATCGATAATAACATCTGAGATGTTCTTTCTTTATCTCTTGAATGGTTTTTTCTGAACCCTTCTATATTTAATAAAATTTCTCTAATATAATATTTATTAAAATAATTTAAAAAACACATTTTTTTATCGTTTCATTTGACCGTGCTATATTAGATTTATAAGTAAGTGACACAGATTAACAAATAATTAAAATCAATGTAGTTTTTGTTGGAACATGTCCATGTTCCATATTGAATTAAAAAAAAATTCATTTAGTCCCACATTGCTCATGTGAGAAATATTAACCATCTCACTTAATTATATAAGGAAGTCACTTGTTTCTTTACAAAATACACCAAAAACATTTTATTAGTTTTTCCTTCCTCACTCTCATAACTCTGCGTCTTTCGAATTGTCGAAGCGCCAACTTCTTCCCCTTTCTTTCTACTCGTTGAATTTTTCGAGTATTTTCTTGAATTCTCTTTATAGAGAATAATGTTAATTTCTCCTCGTTTGAGTTGAGAAATTTTCAAGTATAATTTTTTATTCTCTTTAGAGAATTATTCGAATTTCTCTTTGTTTGAGAAATCTTTGAGTGATCAAAAATGATCATTATTGAATTCTCTTTGAAGAATTATTGAAATTTCTCTTGGTTTGAGAAATATTTATGACTGGTAAATATATCAGATACTACGGTGGTATTTATACCATATTTGAATGGTCTTAGTACCATTAGAGGGTGTATTTCTAGACCGATTATCTATCGTGCAAGTAGTAATCGTACAGTATAGAACTGGGCTGTTTTATCCTGGAGGCGGCGTGGTAGTTCGACTGCTTTGCATAATTTTGGGCAGTACCGCGAAACGTCTTAAAGAGAGCGAACTGATCCGCGACTCAACCCGGTAATTTCTTCAGTGGCAACATTTTTTAAAATCATGAACCAACAATTTTAAGACGTTTCAAACTGCCATGGCTATTGAAGAAATTATCGGTACTTCTAAGATTGTCTCGGACAAACCGTTCTAGTTTGAAGGAGTGCATTTCAAAAGTTGGCAACAAAAGTGAGGTTTTTCCAAACCATAAAGAAGTTTGTCAATATTTTGACCGATGACATTCCTACTGTTCCACTTGGATCAGTTGAACAAACGAATAGAAAGAAATCTATGAACTTAGATTGAATTATTAATTTCAATGAATCTGAATTTACAACATAGATTAAAGAGAAGGATTTACAGCTAAAGGAAGAAATCTCCTTATAGAAAGAGAATGATTATAACATTCTAAATAGACTCGCAAATGATCTATATGATTATTACAATAATTGCGATACTCCAAAACAAGTTTACGAGGCTATGAAAAACAAGTATTGAAGAAGCTGGAGAACAAAAGAATGATTTTAGCAACTACGAAAAGTATCAGATGGTAGATGAAAGATCTGTGGATACTCAAAGTTATGAACTTCAAAAAGAATTCTCATGAGGTCATCACTAAAGGTATGTATTTAGATGTATTTTTTAGAATCTGATTATTCTCCTTGAGTTAAAAAAAGAGGAATCTTAGAGACAATATCAAGAAGAAAAGTCTTGGTTGTTTTAAACAACAAATAAAAATTCGGTGTAGTTCTGAAGCCATTTGGAAAATGATTAAAGAATCAGAACTGCAATGTTGTGATCCGAATTAAGAATGAGATCCTTTCTATGGTCTCAATTGCTCCAACTAGGCAACAATCACCACCTCAAAGAAATGATGTTGTTTTCCATTGTTTTAACCATGGAAAATCATGTCATAAGATTAAGAAATGTAGAAGAGGCTTGAACCTGGTGCTACCCCTAATGCATAGGTCAAACTGACTAATGGGAAATTTATTTCTATGATAATTGAAATCAACACGGTTGATGAATTTGATGATTGGTGGATAGACACTGGTGTTTCTCATCATGTCT